TGTTGGTTTTCTTTTAACTCTGTTAAGTGTTTCTTTTACGGTGCAGAAGCTCTTTAGTTTGGTATAATCCCATTTATTTATTTTTCCTTTGGTTGCCCGTGCTTGTGTCCAGTCCTACTTCCTGAAGTGTTTCTCCTATGTTTTCTTTAAGAAGTTTTATTGTTTCAGGGTGTATATTTAATTCTTTAATCCATTTTGAGTTGACTTTAGTGTATGGTGAAAGGTATGGGTCTAGTTTCATTCTCCTGCATATAGATATCCAGTACTCTCAGCAGCATTTGCTAAAGAGGCGGTCTCTTCCCTTGTGTATAGGCTTGGTGCCTTTGTCAAATATCAGATGGCTGTAGGTGTGTGGGTTGATTTCTGGATTCTCTATTCTATTCCATTGATCAGTGTGTCTGTTTTTATGCCAGTACCATGCTGTTTTGGTTATTATAGCGTTGTAGTATAGCTTAAAGTCAGGTAGTGTTATGCCTCCAGCTTTATTTTTTTGCACAGTGTTGCTTTGGCTATGCATGGTCTTTTGTTATGCCATATACATGTCTGGATAGTTCTTTCCATTTCTGAGAAAAATGTCATTGTAAATTTGATGGGGATTGTATTGAATTTGTATATCACTTTGGGTAGTATGGACATTTTCACTACATTGATTCTTCCAATCCAAGAGCATGGGATATCTTTCCATCTTCTTGTATCCTCTCTAATTTCTCTCAGGAGTGGTTTGTAATTCTCATTATAGGGATTTTCCACATCCTTGGTTAACTCAGTTCCTAAGTATTTTATTTTTTTGGTGGCTATTGTAAATGGGCAAGCATTCTTGATTTCCCTTTCTGCATGTTCACTTTTGGAGAAGAGAAATGCTACTGATTTTTGTGTGTTGATTTTGTATCCTGTTACTGTGCTGAAATAATGTATCAACTCCAAGAGTTTTTTTGTAGAGGCTTTAGGCTGTTTGGTATATAGGATCATGTCATCTGCAAAGAGGGACAGTTTGACTTCATCTTTTCCAATCTGGATGCCCTTTATTTCCTTCTCTTCTCTGATTGCTCTGGCTAGTACTTCCAACACTGTGTTGAATAGGAGTGGTGAGAGTGGGCGTCCTTTTCTAGTTCCTCTTCTTAAAGGAAAAGCTTTCAGCTTTTCCCCATTCAGGATGATATTGGCACGTTTATCCATTCATCCATTGATGGACATTTATTA